GTATGGATATCCCACAGTTTATTTCTGCATTCACCTTTTGAAAGATGTCTTATTTGCTTCCAGTTTTTAGCAATTATGAATAAAGCTGTTATAAACAGTCATGCACAGGTTTTTGTGTGGACACGTGTTCAACTCATTTTAGTTAATACCTGGGAGTACAGTTTCTGGAACACATCATAAGACCATGTTGAGTTTTCTAAGAAATGGCCCAACTGTCTTCCAAAGTGGCTGTATCATTTTTCATTCCTTCCAACCATGAATGAGAGTTTCTATTGTTCCACGTTTTTGTCAGCATTTGATATTGTCAGTTCTTTTGGATTTTAGCTATTCTAATATGTAAGTAGTGTCATCTCATTGTTGTTTTAGTTTGCCGTTCCCTAATGACATACGATGTTGAACATCTTTCTATATGCTTCCTTGCTATCTGCATATCTTCTTTAATGAGATGTCTCTTCAGATATTTTGTTATTTTTTAACCAAATTGTTTGTTTTCTTATTGAGCTTTTATATTTTTGATACAAGTCTTTTACCATATATGTGTTTTGCAAATATTTTCTCTCCATCTGTGGCTTGACTTTTCATTCTCTTAACACTATCTTTTGCATAGCACAGTTTTAAATACTAATGAAGTTCAACTTAATTTTTTCTTTCATTGAACATATTTTTGGTCTTATATCTGAAGGTCATGTAGATTTTCTCTGATATTGTCTTGAAATTTTGTAGCTTTGCAGTTTACATTTAGGTGTGATCAATTTCAAGTTAATTTTTGTTAAATGTGTAAGGTCTGTGTCTAAATTCATTTTTTTGCATGTGATGTCCAGTTGTTCTAGCAGCATTTGTTGAAAAGACTATCCTTTCTCCATGTGACTACCTTTGTATGCTGTCAAAGATTAGTTATTATATTTAGGTGAGTCTGGAGAATTTTCATTTAAAAAATTTTATTTCTCTTTTTAATGGATACATTGTAATTGTACATATTTATGGTGTACAATTTAATGTTTGGATACATATCTATGTTGTATAATAATCCAGTCATAGTTGTGTATCCATTACCTCATGCATTTACCATTTATTTGTGGTGGAAACATTAAAAAGCCTCTGTTCTAGCTGTTTTGTAATATACAGTATTTTATTGTTAGCCATAGTCACCTTACTGTGCAGTAGAACACCAGAATTTATTCCTCCCATCTAATTGTAACTTTGTACCTGTTAACCAACCCCGCAGAATCCTCCCTTTTTTCTTCCCCTGCAGTCTCTGGCAAGGACTGTTCTACTCTCTGCTTCTAGAGTACCAACTTTTTTTTTTTTTTTTTTTTTTTCAGATTCCACATAGGAATGAGATCATGCATAATTTGTCATTCTTTGTCTGGCTTTTTTCATTTAACACAATGTTCTCCAGGTTCGTCCATGTTGTCACAAATGACAGGATTTTAATTTTCTTGTGATGGAATCATATTTCATTGTATATGCATACCACATTTTCTGCATCCATTCATCTCTTGTTGGACACTTAGGTTGATACCCTATCTTGGCCATTGTAAATAGTGCTACAGTGAACATGGGAATGCAGATAATCTCCTTGACATACGGATTTTATTTACTTTGGATATATAACCAGTATTGGCATTGCAGAATCATATGGTAGTTCTATTTTTTTGTTTCTCGAGGAGCTTCCACTTTGTTTTTTATAATGGTTGTACTGGTTTACAAGTCCACCAGTAGCGTGTAAGCATTCCCTTTTCTCCAAAACCTCACCAACACTTGTTTTCATGTATCTTTTTATAATAGCCTTTGTAACTGGTATCTCATTGTGGTTTTTATTTGCATTTCCTTGATTAGTGATGTTGAACATTTTTTTTCTCATACCTATTGGCCATTTATATGCCTTCTTATGAGAAATGTTTATTAAGGTCTTTTGCCCTTTTTTTTTTTTTTTTTTGAGACAGAGTTTCACTCTTGTTGCCCAGGCTAGAGGGCAGTGGCGCCATCTCAGCTCACTGCAACCTCTGCCTCCCTGGTGCAAGCGATTCTCTTGTTTCAGCCTCCTGAGTAGCTGGAATTATAAGCATGGACCACCACGCCTGGCTAATTTTTTGTATTTTTAGTAGAGATGGGGTTTCACCATGTTGGCCAGGCTGGTCTCGAACTCCTGACCTCAGGGGATCCACCTGCCTCGGCCTCCCAAACTGCTGGGATTACAGGTGTGAGCCACCAGGCCCGACCTGCCCATTTTTTAATTGGGTTATTTTGTTTTTGTCTTGTTGAGTTGTTTAAGTTCCTTACATATTCTGGATATTAATCCCTTATCAGGTGTATAGTTTGCAAATATTTTCTTCCATTGTATAGGTTGTCTCTTTACTCTCTTAATAGTTTCCTTTGCTGTGAAAAGTTTTTAGTTTGAGGCAATCTCATTTGTCTATTTTTGGTTTTGTTGCCTGTGCTTTTGAGCTCATGTTTTAAAAATCCTTGCCCAGCCCAATTTCATGAAGCTTTTTCACTATGTTTTCTTCTAGCAGTTTCATAGTTTCAGGTTTTATAGCTAAATCTTTAATCTATTTTGAATTGATTTTTGTATATGGTGAGAGGAGTCTAGTCTCATCCTTCTGCATGTAAATATTCAATTTTCCCAGCACTTTTTTTTTTTTTCGGAAGAGACTACCTTTTTTTTCCAATGTATGTTCTTGGCAACTTTGTCAAAAATCAGTTGGCTATAGGTACATGAATTTATTTCTGGGCCTAGAGAATTTTCTTGAATGCAAGAATGAATGAACAAAGGAACAAACCAACCAACAGACTCCAAACACTCCAATGCCGGCCTAAACTTTCACTCTTTGAAGTAAAGTGCATTTACCAAGATTATGTGTTGGATATACACCTAATTGTATATGTGTTGGATATACACCTAATTGTATATGTGTTGAATTATGTATTGGATATGTGTTGGATTCCAAAATGTCCCTAAGTAAAGGGTGGATTTTTCTTAGTTTTTCTTCTTCTTAAGAGATGGGGTTCCGCTCTGTCATCCAGGCTGGAGTGCAGTGGTGTGATCATAGCTCCCTGTAGCCTCAAACTCCTGGGCTCAAACAGTCTTCCTGCCTCAGCCACCCCAGTAACTGGGATTACAGGTGCCCACCAGTGGTGCTGCACTACAAGGGTGAATTTTCTTATGCATATATTTGCAGAAGAGCAGTATGAATCATATGCTGGTCTTCAGTATATGAAGTTGATGACATTTTTTACCATCAGTGGGGCAAACTTCTTGTATTGTCTTTTTAGTTGTGGTGACATAACCTTATGGTTTATTTTCTGGTTATCTTCTATCACATCTTTGAAATGAATAAAAGCTAAGTGAATATTATCTTGGGTGGGATAGGAAGAAAAACTAAAATCTGAAATTTTTGAGCATCTTGTTATTGCTGAGTTCTGAACCAGGGTCATTATAAATACTATATTATTTAGTACTCGTGAAGGCTCTGTGAGATATTAATATTCCCATTTTACAGATGAGGAAACTAAGTCTCAAAGATGTTCCAAATGTGTGTTATCACAGTGTGTTATTTGAATCAGTGAGTGCCTGATTCCAGAGTCTATACTTATTCTTCTATGTATCTCTGCCTATTGGGTTGTGGGCAGTTAATCTAGGACTTTGGGTTTATGGGCACTGAACTGGCAGAGAACACATGGAACATGTAGATTTGGGCAGTAAAAAAGAAATGCTATATTTCTGGTACTAGCTGCAGGTACATTTCCCATTTTTCCAATGACATGTAGTGAATCAATCAGCAATTATATTGAATATTCTGTGTATAACACTATAAGCATGTAATCCTCCCACAAAATGTAACCCTTATGAGAAATACATATGGTAAGGGAGAAACATGCTAGATGGAAGGAAAACGTGTTTAAATCTTCAGCATAATATTTAATGGCACTGTCATCGATGTGGTTATAGTTTGGGTAGTTTAAACTTTATTTCTCAAACTAAAAACCTTTAAAGGTGGTTTGAAGAAATATGAACAAATTTCTTACTCTAGTTTTATATCACATGAAACTAACTTGTCAGATGCAATTCTTCTGTAAATATTCAGGTCACAGAGCAAGAGGTAACTGACTCCTATGTGCCTAAATCTGCAGCTGGAAATTATACTTTGGCAAGAACATGAGTAATTTATATCTTGTAGAAAGAGAAAAGTATTTTCTTATTCCAACCAGATAGTTTGTTAGCATAACTGTTTGTATGCATTTTAGTATTCAAATACAGATATTCCAGAATATTTCCACTGTGGGAAGCAGCTGCTGCTATTCTAGCACAGAAATCTCAAAGAGATTAATATACAAAGGCAGCATGAACCTTGGTGGCAAATGCAGCATCTGCTTGAGGTGGGGCCTATGATTCCCCATAGATAGTGGGTCTTCAGATTCTCATTAACAGCCTGAAACCATGTTTCAGATCTAAGCTTATTCTACAGGAACAGGAACAAAGACAAGTGATTAATTTGTAATTCACTTAGCTGATAAATATCATCACATGTTATTTGCCCAGGGGCTGTAAAACACTGGACTTTATTTCCTGTAGCAACTGATAGGAATATAGATGTTTGGTCATAATGATTGATGTTTTCAGTTGCCATTACTAGCTTCTGCTTGCTAACAGAACTCAGCCCAGTCATCTTGCAGTCATAAAACATCCATCTACACCTTAGTGATGCATTCACAGAGCACTTTATAGTTTACTAAAGGCACTCACATGCACTGCTTCATCTGATGCCATCTCAGCCCTGTGAAGTATGTACAGTATTGTCATTAGCAACATTTTACAAATAAAGGAAACAGGAGTGAAGAAGTAAAAGACTTATTAGTGTTACATAGCCAGGGCCTCTGATGCTAAATCCTGTTCCATTCTTATACTGTACCAAGCTGCCTCTCTAGTTTCAGAGGCAGTGATGTGTGCTTCATAAATTATATCCTTTCTAGAGATACTGACTTCCAGGACACCCGTCATGAAGAGTCCCAGCCTGGCAGCACTGCCTGATAACTGGAGGATGCCAGGAAAGAGCCAGTGTAATAATCTTTCCCTTTTTCCCCCACACCCCAGAGGAGAAATGCCTAAATATTCCCTTCCTTATGTTCAGAGAGCTTTAGCAAGCAGCTCCTATGTCTCCCTGGCATTTAGAGAAATGAAGAACCAGAAGCAGAAGATCCCAGGGCTATCATTTGGAGTTGCCATAAACCAGAAGTTCCTGAGAACAGCGACGCCTGGGGTGTTGTGCCTGCCCCTAGACCTATAAATCTATCCCATGCAGTGTTCAAAGGCTCATGGCCTCCAACCAGATCTACTATTTGGAATTATCTAGTGAATTATTTATGGTTTACATATTTGACAGGGGCTCATGGCTGGGTTTGAAAATACTCTGTTCCTGGCTTGCTTCTTGGGCCTAAAAATGTCTGGAAAACCAAGGCTCAGAGAAGTTAAGTTGCTAAAGCTCTCAGAGCTAGTAAAGGGCAGTGCAGTTCTGAACAAGGTGTATCTGATTCTAAGCTACAATAATTCCATAGTCAAAGAGCCTGCATGTTTTGCTTTGAGGGTAACAAAGATTTCTGGGTAGGAGTGGGTTGTGTCCTCCTTAGTCAGGTGGTGGAGAACCCACAAAGAATAAGGGAGGGCCAACTACTGAAGTAGAGGAAGGAGGCTGAGTCTGTAGGCCTGCAGCAAAGGAGGAAAAAGAGATTTGGGGGATAGAGTATGGGTGGAGGTAGAAGCAGTAGAAAGTCCCTTATACAATGTGTTGACATGAAGTCCTAACCTCAGCCCCAAAGAGGCTCACAAAGTAGAAGCTTGAGGCCAGTACACATACAAGTGACATGCTGTTTGTTGACTTCATTGCTGCTTCTGCCAGAAGCACACTGCTGCAGCATTGTGACTTGCATGGAATTGTTTCTGCTCTCCACCACTCAGAAAAAAAGAAACAGAAAAGTAAATTTCTAAGTATTTATTTCCTCTCTATTTTCTAAGTCTTTTTGTTAGAACATCTGTGAAATGATAAAAGCAACTTAAAACAATATGGGGCTTTTTTTTTTTTGCAAATATGCTATTTGCAAGCACCACTGCACGTTGTGCACATGTACCCTAGAACTTAAAGTATAATAATAACAATAAAAAATTATAAGAAGGGCAAAAAAAAAAGTGTCCCCAGTCATTTTGATCAAGAACTGCTATTTCACAGGCAAAGAAAATAGGGTAGAAAATCACTTATATCTATAAAATATTAATAAAAGTGTTCTGAAGTGCACAGACATAGAACACATTTCGTAAAGAAATGCCCTTACTCCAGGAGGGACAGCATCCCCTCCTTGTTATTCCCTAGCCAGGAGGCCCTTAGGAAAATTACTTGCCTATATGTAACAGAGTACACCCTTTGTTCTGGCAGGATCACATACTCACTTACTAAGAGAGAGCATCATGAAGAAAGGCAGCCACATGGCTCTAGCCATAGGCAGGTAATGAAGGAAAGAAAGGGTAGGCAAGCTTCCAAGTTTTAGGATAAAAAGAAGGGCAGAAAAATCCCAGCATAACTTCCCTTTTATATCTGCAAAGAAATTAGAAACCAAGGACTAGAATATAAGACTGCAAGTATTTAAGATTCTAGAAACCATGTAACATCTCCTGTATTTTCGTTGTCCCTTTGTGGTTCACTACACCAGCACAGAGTCAGTTTCATTAAAACCTTTAAGATAAAAAGGGTTTGCATACTTTTCCTTGGCCAAAATAAGAAAAAAAAAAAGAATGAGTGGCAAGCAATGAGAGAGGACTAGGAAGATGGCATCTCTCTGCACAGAGAGGCTGGGATTAGAAGCGCTTCTAGGGAGGAAAAGAAATGCTTGAAGAGCCAGCGTGAGCCTGAAAAGGGGTGGTGAGGCTTAATGGAGACCACCCCACTCAGAGTGCAGTGCAGGTTGTAACCCACCCATTTTTTTCCTCTGAGACTCATCCAAATCTAAGCCCTCCACAGTAACCAACACTGATGAAGTTACATTGAAGGAACAAAGATAAGAGAGCAGGACCCTCTCCAGTAAGCCCTGGGTCACAAAATCATCAGCATCATGGTAAACATCTCTCTTACCATTGAGATATCCATTTACTGTGGAAGAAGACAAGAATAGAGAAATACCCAGGAGTGCAAAAAGCCAAGCATGGATTTCTCTTATGAATTTCCTGTGGTCTGTTATATGTAGTAATTAATTTTGATTTTCTTTTTCTTTTTCTTTTTCTTTTTTTTTTTTTTGAGATGGAGTCTCACTCTGTCACCACACAGACTGGAGTGCAGTGGCGTGATCTTGGCTCACTGCAAGCTCTGCCTCCCAGGTTCATGCCATTCTCCTGTCTCAGCCTCCCGAGTAGCTGGAACTACAGGTGCCCGCCACCATGCCCGGCTAATTTTTTTTTGTATTTTTAATAGAGACGGGGTTTCACCGTGTTAGCCAGGATGGTTGCAATCTCCTGACCTCGTGATCCACCCACCTCGGCCTCCCAAAGTGCTGGGATTACAGGCGTGAGCCACCACACCCGGCCTAATTTTGATTTTTTTATACATTTTCTTATACCACAGAGGTCAATAGGTATTAACAGAGATGTAATATCGTAATTAATATTAGAAATGTCAATAAGTCTTTAAAATGAAGGCTATATGTAATACAACTTGTTTCTAGGAAGATTAGGTATAGAAAGTTACTGATTAAAGTATCATTGTTTTTTATTAGGAACTTGCTGTTTGGATGTGTTCTTTATCAATTCTGCATAGGTCTGTGGAAAACTGATAGAAGTACCATTAGCAATTGGATTGGATAATTACAAGCAACCTGTAAAATTTTATCTGCCAAAACATACAAAACCATTCTGATGTGTTTTCATTTCTCCACTTTATGCTTTTCTCTTCAGGCTGCTTCATCAGCTTTGAGCAGTCTGGGCCACGTGTACACAGCCATTGGAGACTACCCCAATGCACTGGCCAGTCACAAACAGTGTGTTCTTCTTGCCAAGCAATCCAAAGATGAACTTTCTGAAGCCCGAGAACTTGGCAACATGGGAGCTGTGTATATTGCCATGGGTGACTTTGAGAATGCTGTGCAGTGCCATGAGCAGCATCTGAAGATAGCCAAGGACCTGGGGAACAAGCGAGAAGAGGCCCGGGCCTACAGCAACCTGGGCAGTGCCTATCACTACCGAAGGAACTTTGACAAGGCCATGTCTTACCACAACTATGTCCTGGAGCTGGCCCAGGAGTTGATGGAGAAGGCTATTGAGATGCGGGCCTATGCTGGACTAGGCCATGCTGCCAGGTGCATGCAGGATTTGGAGAGAGCTAAACAGTACCATGAGCAGCAGCTGGGCATTGCTGAGGATCTCAAGGACCGGGCTGCAGAGGGGCGAGCATCCTCCAATCTGGGTAAGAACAGGGTTGCCTGCAAGAGCCGAGGTCAAAGTCATGAGCTGGAAATAGCTGGAGTAGATCACTATCTTTTAGAGGAATCTGTGTGTTTATATTTAAAAGAATATCCTTATTGTGTGTGCTCTTTTCCTTTTCTTTTTGAGACAGGGTCTTCGTCTGTCACTGAGGATGGAGTACACATGCCAAGGATGGTGTGGCACAACCACACCTCACTGCAGTGATCTTCCCACCTCAGCCTCCCGAGTAGCTGGGACGACAGGCACACACACCACACCTGGCTATTTTTTTATTTTTTGTAGAGACAGGGATCTTCTTATGTTGCCCAGGCTGATCTTGAACTCCTGGGCTCAAGCGATCCCCCCACCTCGGCCTTCCAAAGTGCTACAATTAAAGGCATGAGCCACCATGCCTGACCTCTTTCTTTAGATATATTTCCTTGGAGCCTGCCTTCTCTAAATCACACAATTCTTCCTGTCATCATAGTGCTGTAAGGATTAGAATTCTGAAATACTGGAAAAACAAAACATCCCAACCTTTTAATCTGTAGAGAGAGAAGAGCAACCAGATTTATCTAATTAGAGAGAAGAGACATGAAATGATGATATAGGCTATGTTTGGTTTAAATGAAAGAGAAGCTGCTAAGCAGTCATCAATAGATGAGAACGTTTCTGAAAGGATTTTTCCTTACAGGGATTTCTTTACTTGGTGTATTAACCGCACAGGAAATGCATTTTTTCCTCAAAATTATGTGATTCAAAAAATAATATTGATAGTTTTAATATAAATGCAAAATTATTTTCATGAAAGATCTATTTAAAGATGATAGATTTACAATTGCTTTTGATAGTACTTGGTTACAATTAAAACATTTATAATTTGGGGGAATTTACATGTAGTGGTAAGAGACAACAAGTAATTGGTAACTGGCAATTTTTAGAAGATAATTTTTTATCCCTGTCTTCAAATAGATGTGGGTACATAATGAATGGAAGATGTGTTTGGAAGTATGAGCTAAACTTATCCCTGTGCCTGGAGCCACATGGTTTGTTCTTTGCCTATAGGGATTCAGGATGGGGAGAGGACAAAGAGAGGGTGACCTTATTGCTATGCTTATCAGATATGAGTAGCAGCAAAATGTAAAACTTAGCCACGTTCCCTCCCTTCCTCCCTCCCTTCCTTCGTTCCTTCCTTCCTTCATTCGTTCCTTCCTTCCTCTTTCTTCCTTCCTTCTTTCCTTTCTTTCTTCCCTTCCCTCCCTCCCTCACTCCCTTCCTTTTCCCTTCCCTCCCTTCCCCTCCTCTCCCCTTTCCTTCCCTCTCCTCCCCTTCCCTTTCCAAGACAGGTTCTCCATCTATTACCTTGGCCTGAGTACAGTGGCACAATCATGGCTCACTGCAGCCTCAAACTCCTGGGCAAAAGTGATCCTCCCACCTCAGCCTCCCAAGTAGCTAGAACCATAGGCGCAGCGCATGCCACTTCGACCAGCTAATTTCTTTCTTTCTTTGTAGAGTCATGGTCTCACTATGTTGCCCAAACTGGTCTGAAACTCTTGGGCTCAAGCAACCTGCCCATGGTGGGCATCAGCCACCATGCCCAGCTACTTTTCATTTGTTGTTTTGTTGTTGTAATGAGGCCTTGTTATGTTCCTCAGGCTAGTCTCAAGCTCCTGGCCTCAAACGATCATCCCATCTTGGCATCCAAAGTGTTGGGATGACAGGCATAAGCCACTGCACTTGGTGATTCTTTTTTTTTTTTTTTATAATACAAGCATTTACAGATACAAAATTTTCTCTAAACACTACTTGACCTGCATCCCATAATTTTTTATGTATTACGTTCATGTTTATCGAGTTTTTAACATCTTCTGAGTTGGTTTGTGACTTCTCTTTGACTCATGAAGTGTTTAATGTAAAAATATTTGGGGTTTTTCTCTGACAGAAAATCAGCAGTGATCTCTTCATGGCTGAGTTGAAAGATCTTTTGACATTTCTAAATTTCCCTAATCAGTATCAGTAGTTGACATGCTCTGCTAATTTTTCTGTGAAATTCTCTTCTCTTTAGGTTTCTGTGAAACACCACTGTTCTGATTTTCTTCCTGGCTGCTCCTTCTGTATCTTCTGCATTGACTTTTTAATGCTCCCTTCAAAAAACAAACAATTTTTAAAAATTACAAAAGTGGCACTTAGTTTTGTAAAAAATTCTTACCATATAAAAGTTTATAAAATAGAAAAAGGAGGCTCACCCCTTCACATTAATATCTTCTCTTGTCCCACTCCTCAGAGTCAACTACTGTTAATAATTTGGTTATAATCTTTCCAGACCTTTGTACTACATACATAAACACATGTCAGTGCAAACATATATGTAAATATATACATGTGTGTATAGATTGTTCCCTTTCCAAATCTTGGTTTGTAACATACATACCTTTCTGAAGCTGCCTTTTTTACTCTGCCTCCTCTCCTAGGCTTCCCTCTATCTCATTATTCAGATATCCTATATTATTTTAATAGCTCCTTTCCATTGTATTGCCACTTGTTAAATGTGGGAGTTGTCATATTTTTTATTGCTATTATATATTTATATTTATGTATTTAGATGATAAATACATTATTATTCTTTTTTTTAATTATACTTTAAGTTCTAGGGCACATGTGCACAACGTGCAGGTTTGTTACATATGTATACTTGTGCCAT